ACTAGTTAGCCTATTTTGGCCTAACCCTACCTGTCAAGAACCCAAAAATATAAGAATTTGACCCAATCAAGCTTCCTTATCCCTTTGTTTATGTCAAAACCATGGCCACCAAGAGAGAACTAGGCTTATAAAGACAATTGATGATACATGAAGGTTAAACTTAAATAGGATGCCACATAAACTAAGGAACACGTAGAAATATCCATATTTAGCTTGATACCAAGAGAGGAAGGGGGAGTTGAAATCTAATTTAGAAAAATACAATGGTGCATAATTAGAATTGTAGTTTGGTGAGTAATTATACTTCTCTCCTTTTTTATCCATAAAACCATTCATTTAAATACTTTGTAAAAGGTTTCATATATCTTTTACTATTCCTTTAATTTTAAAAATTTTGATCTTATTTTTGTAGGTCTTAATTAGATCTAGAGTCAAATTCAAAGAAGACATGGTCTCAAAAGAGATTAAAAGTTAGGATAGTTGCATTTTGGAGGGTCAAACCTTCTGCAACCAAAACGGATGGTGCTGAGCACTTCCTAGCATAATTAAAAGCAAGATGACTATGGTGATCCTTAGAGATCATTACCAATACCAACGGACCTAATGAGGTCATGTCTAGAATGTGATTAAATGTTAGGATAGTTACATTTTGACGGAACAAAGCTTTTGCAACCAAAGGGGCTAGGCACTTCTTAGCCCAACCGAAAAAAAAAAAAAGTTTATCGCAGTGACCATTGCCAACATTAGGAGACCTGATGAGCCTTAGAAGGTTGCATCACAATTACATTTCACCAATCATAATTGGGTAGGAAGGGATTTAGTAGCAAAGAATATGTTTGCAAATTGATACTGTTATAATGAAACATAGATTAATATTTGTATTGTTAACAGTAGTTTAATTTCTATTATTCTATATGCACCATATAGTACTCTAAATCACCATAATTGAAAACTCTTTAAAATCAAGTAAGCCTTGTAATGCCAAACACACTTAGTTATGTCCATAAACATAACAACAAAAGTTTTACCACTTCCTTTTCTTGCTTGCATATTAGGCACACAAACCATTTAGTAAGACTTTCTTTTTTCTTCTGAAGTTAAAATTTACCTTTATATTCTCATAAAAAAATTTCTCAATTAAAATACGATCATGATTAAAAGATAATAATATATTGAATATTCATAACACATAATAATCGTAATCTTTTGTAGGACTTCCACTCCCCAAAAGCAATAATTTCTTGATTTAGAATATAGTCACCCAATTGAGCCTACATCTATTGATATTTTTATAGGATTCTATATAATATAAGTTTGCATGATTAACAAGAACTAACTCTGTAATTTTGTTAGTATTCCAACTCTTAGTATATTGATTAAATAAGAAACTACTCTTTGATCATTATTACTTCAATCTCCTAACAACATAGCACCATATGTTAACCATTTGTAGTTGTCCAAGCTCCATTTCTTCTGATTAAGTCTCTTCCAGTATAATAAGTTATTATATAATCTTAAGATTTGTTCTTCTTTCTTTTAGTACATTAAAAGTAGGGAAGTAAATAATATTAAGGACTTGAACTAACATGCTTCCCCTATCTTCCTCCCACTTTGTTGTCAAAATCTAACAACTATGAAATATAGAGTACAAATATATTTTTGTAACTTCAAAGAAGATATAACATATTTTGAAATGACTCAAAAGACTATATTGATTATAACCTATTTTCTCGCTTGATTGAAAAATTTCTCCTTCCCCTTTCAATATAAGCTTGAATTTTCTACTTGATCCACTTGAGAGTACATGATTTAAATGTTCCCTAATTCATTAGAATTCCCAAGTAATTTCTAAGAGTTTTTGTAGGTTTGATGCCAAAGATGAAAGATAGTAATTGCTTTATGTTTGTATATACCTACAAAACAATAACACAAATTTAGCTAAATTAATTTGTTAGTCTAAACTAGTGAGTTTAGGATCCTTAGTAACTAGTACATCTTTGACTCTTTCATGGAAGGAGAAAAAAATGACAATGTCTAGAAATAATAAATAAGTAATTTTTGAGGCATTGGTGGCAAGTCTAAAATAAAAAATCTTACCATCAGTCTTAACATTTTGTAACATTCTAGATAACCATTCAACCCATAAAATTCAAGAGCTTTAATGCTACCTAGTCCAAAAAATTCTTATCTAATATCTTCACCAAAAACTAGTTTGTACAATTTTTAATTCAATTATTTTGTAGCAATGACAATAACAAATTAAACATGATTCATAATTTCTTTTGCATAATAGATCTTTTTTTACCTGATTCATGATTGCCCTCATAACTTTTTACTGCCTTTCAACTCAATCACCTTGATCTATTTTGATTATTTTAATTATGATTTTTTCACTTCTTTAGATGGTAGTGTGTTCAAATTTTGGCAAGCTTACCAAGCTTTTGTTTTAGTAAAGGAACATAGGTTGTCGTATCTACAATGATTGGTAGATATATTTATAATCTATATTATCTTAATTAAAATTATTAATAAAAATATTGATATTTTCGCAAATTGTTCATCGGTTGAGAAATTCAGAGATTCAAAGATTAAAATTGACTAACATATAAAAATATTAAGGTTGAATGGGAATTGATTTTTATCATTTATACTCATCTATATTTTTTATGAATAAATACCTAGACATTATTCTATAGAAGTAGATGCACTTTTTTAATGTTTCTTTATATCTATTTCTTAATAATGAATAACAATTCTTTTTTGTATATTCACAACACATCGAGTGAGGTTTATTCAATCTAGTTCTAAGATTTGTTTTCCAACAAAACTTTGGATCTTAAATCAAAATACTATCATTAAAAATCTTTCACTGTGTATATAAAAAGAAATCAAGAATTTAAAAGTTAAATTTTTGAATTAAAAGAAAGAATTTTCACTATTTATTAGATTTATTGATTCAATTCAATGAATCTTTCATTCATATTTATTTTTTCACTAAGAGAGTTTTAAAACTCATGAAATTTTATATTTGAAATATCAAATAGATCTTTTAAAATATAGTTAAGGAAGATATATTTAGAAATATTTAAAATGATTGTTTTTTTTTAACAACTCGTACTTTTGTGTATTTCTAACTTTTTTAACCTTGTTTGTCTTTTCTAAATGTTCATTTATGAGCAAAAATAATATTTTATATAAAACTATTGTTAAATAAAAAATTTGGTATAATTCAAAGATAGTGTGATCTTTTAAAGGATTGAAACCAAAAAAAAAATTGTTTATAAAAAATAAGATACTTTGCTAAATGAATTTTTTTTTTATCATCTTACTTTCTTATGTTTTTTCTTCATCCATTCAATTGAAATTGTTAAATTTTAATATTAATTTATAACAATAACATGTTACATAAAATGACAATTATTCAATTTAGCCTAAATTTTAGTAAAATTTTTATTTATATGTTTGGTTGGTTGGTAAGATACAGCATATTTTATCCTCTACAAAGAAAGTATTTATTTTTTATATTAAATGTAAATTTTTATTTTAAATATAAGCGCATTTGGAAGTTATGTATTTTTCGGAGCATTTTTTTTTTATGCTATTTAACTTTACTTTTACAATATTTTTTAGAACTTTTAATAGAAATTTGGCGTCTAAATATGCATTCTCATAAGGCTGGTTACTAGTTGATTTCAAGCATATTCTAACCCCAAAATTCTTAATTCATTACAAACTGAGACAAACAAATTTTGGCCCAATATTACCCATTTAACATTTTGATTTGGAAAATTTTCAATATAATCGAGTTGTAACATCCCGGGTGGGTTACTTCAAATTTGGTCCAATGGGCTATTTTATATTTTTGGGCTTGATTAAAATTTTTAACCTTTTTTGTATTTTCTCTAAATTTCCAATCTAATACACAATTATGACAATATATGCATGCATTGCCAGTTAAAATTTCAATTGTTTTAGTTAAATATCAAATTTAAATCACTTTTTTTTAAAGTAAAATACAATGCCATAAAGATAATGTATATATACACACACACAAAGATACATATATACGAGGATGTGTAAGTTCAACATCAACGACTCCAATTTCAAAAACCAAATTATCATCCAAAAATAATAATAATAATAATAATTAATAATTGTTCCCTTTCGAACAAGAGACCCGTAACTCCATTCAACCTTGAATCATGCTCAATCAAGCAAAATAATAAATATTAGAAGTGATGAAAGAAACAGAATGAACAAAACTACAAATATTTATTCTTACCTCTCATCGAAAAGAGAGACTAAAAGAGGAATTAAGAGAGCGAGAGAATGTTATTGTAGATTCAAGGAGAAAAGGATAGAATAGAGACAAGTGAAAAATTGAGTGAAAATTGGGAACACAAACAGCTGCAACACTGATGATGGGAGCATTTTGAAGTTCAAATTTCAAAGATGCGCGACAAATAAATAAATAGGAGGCAATGTTAAAAGAAACCGCCCGGCTCCGTCACTAATTGAATAGGTTAAACTCGATTATATTAATAAAATGTGTAAAACTTATATTTCTAAAAATTTCAAAAAACAAAATTATATACAAGTTAACCAGTGATTCACGTTTATTTCTTAGATTCACTACTGCAGAAAAAAAATATCGCCAAACAACAACCAAAAAAGCGGAATAATTTAAAATAGTTAAGGATAAAGAACTAAAAACTTAAAATTTTCGAATTTCAAAACAAAATAATATGAACTATTTGCTAAATTGACAAGTGTCTTTCAAAAGACAAAATAAGGTTACAATTTAAAATTAAATTAATACATAAAGTAACAAAATTGTTTGTGAAATAACTGGATAATTAGTAATGCCCCATTTTAATTTTGTACACGCAAAAAAATAATTTTGGATAACATCAAAACAGCCACGTATTTCCCTCTCTCAAGAAACAAAAACAAACAAAATCAAAATAGAAGAAAAGAAAACGAAATAATAAAAACGGCATTCAGAATGAGTAGGAGGATTGTATTCATCATATGAATATTATTCATATGAAAACATTCAAATGGATCATCACCATGCCAAATAATAGCTACAAAAATTTAAAAAGCAAAAAAGAGAAATTAAAAAAAGGTAAATTAAAAAGCGTAATGGAAGCGAAGGGAGGGTGGAATCCTCTCAGACAAATGCCTCGATTTGTCGTCAGAATTGTTAGAATGGAAATTAGATCAGACTCGTCATCAATATTTGATCATCACCGAGAATCCACACCTTCGCATGCGTTCAACAACGACTCATTCAAAATATCAATAACCAAACACTCAAAAACAAAGAATTAATCTAAAGAAAAAATGACTGCGCACACAGATATGAAACGGTGGCCACGCTCCCTGCGTCATGGAATGGGAACAAGAGTTTCACTTTTCGATATTTATAGGCAACTGGGGTTTCTGAGGTTGTATTTAGGGTTCTATCCGTCCAACCTTCATTGGGCCGTGTAGTTTAAATGGCCCAATCAAAAAGTTTTAATTCCAAATACATTGGGCCTGAAAAGTTACAAAGTTGGATACAAAGTCCTTTTCTTGCAAAAATATAAAAAGAAAAGATACGATATCCTTTTTGTGACAAAAGAAAAACTAAAATTGTAAATTCATCAATATATTATTGACCAATGAAGAAACATGAAAATATTCATTTCCTTAACACATTTATTTAAATTTAGACTATTATTTAAATTAATTTTAAAAATTCAAATCAATTCTCCCATCCCAAAATAGTAGCTTATAAATTCAAGATAAAATAGATAATTTATTAAGTATATAAATTACTTTATGGATAAAGAAGACATCTCTTATTATATTTCTTTCTGTTGATATATATATATATATATATATATATATATATATATAATTTAACAATATTAATATTTTTTTATGTTTTTAATATTTTAAATCTTATACAAATTTAAAATTATGCATATAATACAATCACAACTTACTGGATTTTAAACTTATAAAATTAATATGGTGTATATAAGGCTATATTATAATATTTGTACATTAAAATATTTAATCATTAAATAATAAATTATACACATACATTTCATTTATAATAAAAATTTCAAGCATTATGCAGGCCTCTAACTAATTTTTTTAACTTTTATTTTTCTTTATGCTTTTTGGTTTACAGAACTACTTTTGTTTTTCAACACACCAATTTTCTCTTTTATTTGATTATTAATAAGATTTAGATTCTATTTTTTCTTATATCTATATTATAACAATTAATATATTTTTCTTAAATAATAGGTGCAAACTGACCAGTTAGATAAAATAAGTTACATAAACAAAAAAATTTAAATTAAAAAATTATATCAAAAGAGCATTTAGATTAAAAACACAGTGTAGGAAAATTTAAGCTTAATTGGAGTTACCTAAATTTAAACATTAATATTTAAAAGGAAATACAAATAAAAAATAAAATGCGATATTTAACATGGTAAAAGTCATGTTACTTAATAAAAAAAAACTCTTAAATTTATTTTCATTTAACAATATTAACTTAAAATTATAATTAAGTAATGGATAGCGTGGATCATTAAAATATTACTATTAATTAATTGGATTAGATTATATTAAATTTAAATTTAGAACCTAGTTGATTGAATAATAAAAAATAAGAAAATTGATGAGATAAAATTATGACTTTTCTCATAAATGGGAATTCAGAAAACAATATAAATTGGTTAATATATTGACTTTTTTGTGTCGGTATTTAACATAAATACTCTCTTATATTTTTATTTGTATTAATTGTTAAAAAAAATTATATTATTTATTATAAAATTTGTATCAACACAAAATACTCATCTATTATATACTATAGACTCTGCATTGGTGCGGATAACGACATATTCTAAAAAGCGATGGAGTTCTTCTGTCTGGGTTCTATCAAACTCCACCATCTACAAATTTATTTTGCTAACAGATGGTGTGGGTGACTATTCTGTAGTATTTTATTCTTAGTGGAAGATGAATGCACAAATTGGATAGACGATGAGCATGATGATGCCAAGAGTATTTGATATTCCATGTTTCTGTGTGAAAGAATTTCTGAATCCACCAGTAGCCCTGATATGTTCTTGCAATAGGTAACAACCAATGAAAAGATCAATCCCTATACCAACCCAGTTGTTCCTAAACTTGAGAGCAAAGACGTTAGGGGCCACCATCAAAAGAAGGATCATTGATCCAGGTATTTCCAACCAATCTGCAAGGATCCATTCCAAGTTAATTTTCAATAGTTAAGTTCAAAACTCAGGCCAAAAATGGTCAATTTGCCTGAGTGCATAAGTGTGTGATTAGGGATGTAAATGAAGCTAAGTTTCACTTTAAAGTATTCTGAAGCATTGCAAAGTGAAACATACCTGGAAAATGTCTAGGTAAGAAAAGCCTTAGCACGACTGTAATGAAGGCAATCCATTTTCCAAGGTCTCCTCTGAACAATAGAAATGAATTTTGAGTCATTCAATTTATAATAATAGATTAGAAAAAGAAAAGAGAGGAAGAGAAATGATAAAATAACATAGTTACCTGAACAAGTGGAACAGAGACCTGGGAAGACTGAAGAATATGTAAGGCACTAATAATGAAGTCAGCATATTTGTCCTCCAGTTTGTGCGATCCAGTACCAGTAAATATCTGAAATAAACATTTTCCTAAGTGAATTTAATTAATAAAAAATTTCTCTTTAAGCTGGTCACTCACTCATCAATTTCTCCGTTAGCATATTTTAGTGATTTTTAATAGAAGACAAACAAAAGAGAAATGGGAAGACTGAAAAATTGTGTGAAAAAAGATGGATAATATAATAGAAAAAGTTAAAAAAAATATATAATTTTGTTAATTTCAATCTGAGTTTAAATATCATAGTCTTTTTTTTTTTAAAAAAAAAAATATTATATTGGGTATATAGAAGTATATAATATGTTTATCAATAAAAATTATTACTCTAAATGCTTAAAGAAACAATAAACTGTAAAAAAATAACAAAGGAGTGTTATATATAAGTTGTTATATAGAAGACAAATTTGTTGATTTGATATTACTAGGAATTAATATGAGTGGCTGGTAGTATTGATTATAGCAATTAAATTAATATTTGATTAACAAATTTTCTTGCTTCCCAAGGAAGCATATAGAGAGAGGTTAAATTGAACTTACATGGCAGCAAAGGTAGCGAACAATCTGAGGGAAGAAGTGCCAAATCCTTTGCCTCCTAATATGGTGGCATCGTTGAAGAGCTTCTTGGCAGCAAGCTTTAGCTCATTTATATCGGAATCGATTAAACTAGCAATAACGGGTTCCGTTTTCGTAGCCACATGCTGCATTAATAATCTCCCCATCTTGCTTCAGATCTGATTTCACAATTCACAGTTCACAATATAGAGGCAATGTTGAGGTTGTTATATAGGAAGCAGTAGCAAGTGAGACACAAAATTGTAGGGGTTTTAAAGTAAGTGTGGAATCATGAGAGGCCATAATTCAAGATTTCAACGAATGGTCATAATTCTAAATAAGATGCGAACTTTCGGATCCTCTTCAATTTTCAACTGTTTTCTGGGCTTTATTTTGACTCCTTGTCTGGGTTTACCGTGTCATGTTACGGGTTTGCGATGCCCTTTCACCATAATCCCATTTTGTTTGATACGTTGCATCGTTCCATAATAATAATAATTTAATTAACTTCCGTTTTTAACATTAAGTTTAAGCATTTTAAATAGTTTTTTTTTATTAAGAAAATCTTTATTATAAAGACTCAGATAAATACTTTTTAATAATAATAACAACGGAATGATGCTAATCTCTCGTTAAGTCGAGTTGTAGTGCGTTGACACAACCGAAGGGTACGGTTTTGTAATGCTCTAAGTTTTGTAATAATATTTTGTTTACTAATATAAATGATAGATTTCTAATTGAATGTTCATTTTGACTTATGTAGTGACGTGAATACATGTGTACATGCATGTGTGAATATATGTGGATAAGTATATATGTATAAATGTGAATATTGACTTGTGGTTGGGCTGGATTGATTGATAAATAGACTAGATGTGTATTGCAGGGGCATTCTCGCAGTAGCGAGAAGGTCTTGGGTGAGTGTCATGCATCTGTTACGTTCTCGTTGTAACGAGAGGGTAACAGAATAGGTGCATTTTATGGGTGCAGTCTTACTATAGCGGGATTCCGCTGTAACGAGAGGATCCTGCTGTAGCGAGATTATAAAGAAATCAGGATACAATTCTCTCTGATATTTTTACTACAGTAAGAAAAGGCCTCGCTGTAACGAGAGTGTTGCAAATTCTAGGGTATTTGAGGAGTTTAGAGTTTAGAAAATTTATTTCTCACTTTTTTTCTCATTCTTTCTTCGATTCTCCAAACTAGGAGTGTTCATGGATTGGATTTTCAAAAATCCAATCTAAATCCATTTATAATCCAATTATATAGATTGGATTATAAACCAATCCATTTTAATTTTTCTAAAATCGGTTTAAATTTGGTTTTAAAATTTGGATTTGGTTTAAAATTAGTTTTAAACCATTTTTGCTATATAGTAAAAATATACTATAATTTTTTTATATTATTATTAAATTATTATATTAAAACATATTTAAATTTTATAATAAATAAAATAACATTATGTTTGCATATATATATATATATATATATATATATTACTTTAACCCATTAAATCTCTAAAAAGAGTTAATAATACATGTCAAAAAAATATTCGCGTATATTTTAATTTATTAATAATATTTTTAATATTTTATTAAAGTAATAAATATTTAAATACATTTTAATTTTTATCATCTATTCATCATATAAATTAATTATATGAGTTAAATTTTAAACTATTTTATTTTATTTTATTTTTTAATCAGTTCAAAAATAGTTTTAAAATTTAAATTAATTTTAAATTTAATTTTTGTTGAAACTAGTTTTAAATTTAATTTTTAACGTAAAATTAATTTTCAATACATTTATAAATTTTGTTTTTAAGGTAAAACTAATTTATTATATAAAACGTTGTATTAAATCAGTGCATTTCAAAAAGATTTGAATAATATTTATTAATATATTATATTTTATAGAAGTGTATAAAATATTTATTATTATTTTAAACTTATTTTTAATGAATAAAGTTTATAGTGAAAGTTAAAATTAAAACTTATAAAAATAAAAATTAATAATGTAAATAATAATAAAATTATTATAATATTTTAAAAGTTAAAAAGTAAACATAAATATAAAAAAATAGTAGTCATTAATTTAAAAATATTTTTTATATTTTAATATCTTTAATTATTTTGAATATTTTAATTTTAATTATAAGAATTAATAAAAAAATATTAGTGGTAAAATATAGTTATAATATAACACAAAAATTTAATAAGTAAATATATAAGATAATGGCTTCATACATATACATATAGATTTGGATAACTAAAAAAAAATCTAGTTTTAGAAAATGAATTTGGACACTAAACCGGTTTAATATAAATCTAGATTTTTAAAACTAGTTTAATATTAGTTATGGATTAGATTTGTAAAATCAGATTTTTTGAACACCCATATTCCAAACCCTTAACCCTATTTCACCGATTAAACTACCTTTAAAGCTATTTAGGTGCAAGATTGAAGGTTGTGGTTGTGTTTTAGACGTTTGAAGGTAAGTTTATTTCCCACTTATTTTTTTGCTGATGATATAATTTTAATAGCCAAATATGATATGCATCAGGCTAGGATTATTAAAGAAACACTTGCCACTTTCTACTTTGCCTCTGGACTAAAGATTAAATTTAGCAAATCCTCTATCCTCATTTTTAAAAATATCGATCTAGCCCTCTCTTAGGATATTCGCAGTTTTTTGGATATTAACATTTCCACCCAATTTGGTAGTTATTTGTGTATTCCTATTAGTAGCCAAAAACCAAACAATATTGATAAACTGGGAAGAAATTAGAACTTTGGAAAATGAACTCATTTTCCATGGCTGGTAGGATTACCTTGACCCAGTCTTGCCTCATAAGTATTCCTGCTTATACAATGCAGTCCCTACTTCTCCCTGTTTCAATTTGTGATGAAATTAATAAAATTTGTAGAGACTTTATTTAGGGATCTCTAGGGAGGAAAATATGTCATTTGATAGGGCGGAATAAAACCTGCAAACCTAAAAAAGAAGGAGATCTAGGATTCAGGTATATCACAATCTTAAATAAGGCTTATCTTTTGAAACTCTGATGGAGACTTGTTAGTTCTTCCAATAGTCTCTGGGCCCATATTGTTAGGAATAAATATAAAATTGTGCTTGGGAGAAACTCCTGTATAAAAAGCTTTTAAAAGGCTTCCCATCTTTGGAAAGACATTATTTCAGTTTGGCCCTTTTTTTCCTAGGGTTTAAGGTGGGTGGTAGGGGATGGCTCAACCATTAAATTTTGGACTGGCAAATGAATCCCTCAGCACCATCCCCTTGTAAATTGTTGTAAGGTTCCCATTTTTGAGGTTGATCTAGACACCCTTGTGGCCCTATTCTCTACACAAGGATCTTGGAATTTGAATAAAATTTATACTTTCCTGCTTGCTCATTTCCATAATATAATCGGTAAGATTTTTTGTTTTGGAACCTGTTCAGTAATGGTTGTTTTTCCCTTAAGTCTACTTATTCTCTCTTAAATAAACATTTAGCTCAACCTAACCCCTATTCTAAAAATTTCTATGTTCCTTTAAAAATTAGGGCATGACAAATTTCTTACTAACCACGAAAGATATGGGAGAAGTATGACAGACTCTCCTTCTTGTCCTAGGTGTGGGAATGTCTCAGAATCCATCATTCATGTTCTTCGTGACTATTGCTATGCTAAACAAGTTTGGGAGCACTTCATTTTGCCTGACCAATAGCCTCGCTTTTTTAGTAGTGATTTGCATAATTGGATTAATAAAAATTTATCTAATTATTGTCATAATGACTTTCCTAATTGGGATAGACTGTTTGGATATGCAGTCTGGTATTTATGACTAGATAGAAACAATTTCATATTCCAGCAATCCTTTGTAATGCCCAGTTCTCTGGTCCATAAAATTTTATATGATCTGAATTATTTTCATTGTGTTTTCAGGGCCAATAGAAAGTTTGTTTCTAGCCTGCTGCATCAACAAAGTCGAGTCAAGTGAATTCCTCCTAGCCTTGGTCATCTCAAGCTCAATGTTGATGGCTCAGTCCCCTTTCATCATCAAATTGCTGGTTATGATGGCCTTACTAGGGATGATAAGGGGAATTTTGTTGTTGGTTTTCATGGCTGCACTAGTACTTGCTCCCTTTTAGTTTCTGTGCTTTGGACTTTTTTTTGGGGCTTTAATTTAGTTGTCCAAAAGCAGATTCAATGTATTTAGATAGAAGGGGATTCAAAGGAGGCTATCTCTCTCATTTTGAGTCTCCAGCCAAGCTCTCATCTTTGTGCATCTATTTGCATGATATTGGAGCTTTGTTAAAACATATTAATTTTATTAGATTTAGCTACATTTGTAGAGAAGCTAATTAATGTGCTGATTAGCTGACTAAGCTTACGATTGATAGTTGTATTGTTATGCTCTATTTTGATGATTCCCTTCCTCCTTGTATCCCTTTCTTCGTCTAAATACCAGTGATATTTGATCTTTTATGTGTGAATCTTAGTTCTATTTGTTTGAGCTTTTAAACCCTTCTTATTAGCAAAAATAAAATAAAATGTAACACTACTTGAAGATTAATAAGCATTAAAAATTTAAATTATAAAATATAATAAATTGAAATACATATTTACTCTTTATAATTAACATTTATTTATAATATATTTTAATATTTTAAAAAAAATTACGTTTGAATTCTTATAGGATTGTTTTGCTATATTTTAATTAACTTCTACCGTTATAATAATATTTTGAAAAAAAGACAAACTAAGAATAAACAATAACTTTTACTAATAACGTTAAAATATTAGAAATTAAAATATAATAAAAATATTTATATATAAATTCAAATATAATTTTTTCAAATATAAAAAATAATATATAAATAAATATAAATTATAGAAACTATATATATATATATATATATTTTAACCAATATAATACAACAAAAAGATACTATTTTACGTTAACATTTATATATCTCGACGTACTATTGTTAGTTTTTATTTAAATTAATCTTGATTTAATTACGAAATACTTAGGGGAAAATGTGATATTTTAAAAAATAAAAAACAAAAATAAACTGAAGAAGTTATTTAATAATAAAAACTATTTTAAAGTAATTCATCATAAAAATATATTAAAAAAATCAAAATGCTAACTAAACTTTGAGAATCTTATAGAATTTCCCTTTTACAGCGGTCTATATTTTGCAGGCAAAAGTAACTATTATCTTTTTAAAAGCACGAGGAGATGAGAAGGTCAGATCTTTACCCCATATTTTTTATCTTCTTGTTTTCGTAATTATAATAAGAAATTTTAACTTTTAAGGAGAGAAAAAAAAAATGAAAGCCAATCAGACTGAGGATAAAGTAACAAGGGTATGGTGTCTTAACAGAGTTGCAAACATTTTACAATTGTGATTGTTACAGTGTAGCTCATATCGTATAATAGTACAACTCCATGAAAACCACTACCTTTATATATTTATATTTACAATGACAATGTCACTTGCAATACAGAATGTTCATGAGATTGTAGAGCAATCCAAGCCGACATGCTGTGCTTGCAAGGTAAGACTAAAATATAACTTATCAAATGACATCAAGCATTCAAGTCTGTGCTGTAAAGGGGTTCAGAAAGAGGGAACAATGATACTTAATGATACGTGATTGTATAAATTTTATATATGAAATTTCTATATTTTATAAATTGGTTTACAGTTTTAGCACCAACACTACATATACTTCTACATGCTTGGCAGTGAAGCGAGCTAAACGGATAGACAACTGATTATACAGTATATGGAACTCTACTCAAGGGGAGATGTTAAAATTACAAAATTGACCCTGTTGCAGCATAAGTGAAAAGAAACTCAAACCGACTTACTTTATTATCTGTATTGATTATTCGTAACTTTATTTGAATGCTTTATTTGGATGATAAATAAAAATATAAATAATTAAAGAACATATAAATGATATAGATACATAATTTTTTAAAAAAAAAATTAGATTAGATATAGTATTATTTAAGTTTGTTTGTACAATTTACTTGTATTTTAGTGATAAGAAATTTTTCTGGTATCTAAGTCTCTTGTATGTCTTAATTAAGTAGTCATTTTTCATATTATAATTGTTTTTACTAATATTATTTTTTTATTAAAGATATGTTTCGTTGAGACCAGTTTTATTCAAACTTGAAGATAGTAACAGACAAAGATCTTCAAAATAGATACTTTTGAAGTCACATTAGAGTACTTAAAAGGACAACAAATCTGTTACATCACATAATTTGGATATTCAAAGTCTACCATGGATGTTAAACTCATTATTATGCAATTACTTACTCAATAATTTACATTATGATAATGAAAAAAATTTCTCGCAAAAAATAACGTAATGTCTATATAAGAGAAAAGAAACTCCAAACCTCAAGTATATTATTGATTATTCTTGTTTTATATACTAAACTTGAATATAAACCCTTTTTCACTTGAGTGTTTGAATGTTTCTTTACAAGAACTCTCCTAGTTCACCAAAAATCCACCAATCGCACCTATTGTATTGGAACAGTGATAGCTCTCTCATGTTGAATAAGTTCAAAATTAAGAGATTTGCTTGTTAATCATAGTTCTAAAGTTAAAAAATGTTAGTTTAAGTCACTTGACACCTTAGAGCATTTCCTTGCGTCATGGAGAAGAGGGGTGCTTTAGAGTAGGAGGAAAATCTTATGTGAAGGAGTACACAAGGCCTACAATTTGAAAAAGTGACCACAGTAAAAGAAGATTACCACAAGAATACTCTTATCCTGTATGTGTAGGGAAGATAATTGGATTCATATTGTGTAGATAAACAAAAAATTATCCGCGGTAACAGAACTTTTCTCTGAATATTTAACTTGTATCACATTTTAAGTTAAAACAATTCTTGTCAACAAAAATAGAAAAAATATATATAAAATTTGATTGATGTTATAACTTTAAGAAACAAAAAAAGTTATAATTTTTTAAAATTTAAGAAAATATTTAAACTATAATAAAAAATAGTTTATAAAAGTAAAATCATCTCAAGTAATTGCAGAGAGCAAAGTCCCTTTCATATACGTCAGCTTGTCTACTGTTTTTAGGTTCCAAATCCATGTTCTCAAGTCAATAACAGTAATAAAAAAGAAGACTGACGTAGAAATGAAAGCACAACGTTTTCGAGAGTAAACCCCCCCCCCACAAATGATTATGGTTATAGAATTACGGGACACACATGAAATAATAATAAGTTTGACTATTTCTATCCCCTTCTTCCCAGACGCAATCAAAGGAAGGCTACTTTACTGGGGTTCAACGATATATGGAAGCAAAGCAATAATGAGTCCAGTGTCAAACTCCGAAAGTGAAGAAGCCTTTGTAGCTGTTTCTGCGGATAATGATCACGAGTACTTTCAGTTTCAGAAAAGCACTTTAGCATAACTCCATCTTTTATTAGACGCAATTATGAGTGTGATTGAGTACTGTAACCAACAATAATAATCACACAAACTTCGAAGAAATTTCCATTACCTATTCGCTGTCTCCACCATGCCACCCACCATCATTCGTCCCCTATAATTTCATGTCTTGTGCTTCTCGGCATATCACCATCACCTCAAAAGTCGCTCACCTCAAAAATTTAAACCCGATACTCCCTCAATAATTGGCGCACAGGAGCGAGAAAGCATTGAGAAAAATGAAACATCTTAAAAAGGAATTGTCTGTAAAGTAATGTTATTTTGAAAATAATAAGGTTAAAATAAAATGTATTCACTTTTAAATTTTAATAAATTGAATAATATTTTCTAAAAATAAAATCATCTCAATTTCATATCCCAAGAAAAATTGAAGTATATGATAAAGAAAAATTATTATATTAATCAATTAAAATTAAAGAAAAAATGAACAATTACAAGTGGGACCCGTATCAAATTTACTCCAATAATGACTCTCACGTGACTGGAGGAAGAATAGCATGGTGGCTATTCATGATGAGGATGATGCTGCGGCTGTTGCTGATGGCGTCCCTTGCGGGTATCAACAGCCGTTGACTCATGCGAATCACAAACCTGAGTTTTAAACTTGCAACCGAACTTCCGCCCCAGTGACGCCCTCCAACCGCCGCCCCCGCTGCCGTGGGAGCCAGCCTTGTCAAACTTCGAGATCACTCTCTTCATCGATGAACACTCGCGTTCCAGTTGATGCACGCGCGTCCTCATGCTATCCATGTCCAAGCGCAGCACCTGATTCTCCCTCACCGCCACACGCCACGTGCTACTCCCTTCCTGCACGTGCTCTAACGCTAAGCCCTCTCCGCCCTCTTCCGCCTCTCGTTCCAGCGTCGCCGATTGACGCGCCGGTTCCGCGGCCGCCTCCGCCGCCATCAGCGTTCCGGCGATTGCGTGTCGCAGCTGAAGCTGCTCGAAGAAAAGTACTTGCACCACCGCGCGCAGCGGAAGCCTCTCGTTTTGCGCCGCGTGTGTGCACGCCTCTAGCGTCAGCTTCTGACAGTCCAACAATCCGCAAATCTTGTCTCTTTCCGCTTCCGAAACCCATGGATGTGCCTGTAAATGAAATGAATAGTCAATTTCACTATCAAATGAGAAAACAGAGATTCGTAACGGAATCGGTACCTTGAGATACACGTCGACGGCGCGGTAGAGACCGTCGTCGAAGAGTCTGGCCTCATCGGGAAGGGAGATAGCGAAACTGTAGAATTTCTCCGGCTTAAGATTCGCGTCGGAAGCTATCTCGGAGAGGTACCCGTCGATGAGTTTCCCGACGAGCATCAACGCTGGCGACCTCGCTGAGGCGTCACCTCCTTCCGTGGCCACGGCGTTTCTCGCTTCTAAACCATCCAGAAAGTGACTCAAAATCCTCTCCACGCAATCCACGTCGTATAGTGTTTCGTTCAAGTACGAATAACTCGGCACGAGAAGGTCGTCGAGCGTGGCTTCTTCGAGTTGCAACCCTATCTTCTTCTCCAACGCGTCTCTGCAGGCTTCGGAAGCATTCAGTATGTTCGCTGTTCGCAACAGTCCGAAAAGAAACCTCGTCGCCGTCGCTGATTTCGAACTCTTCTCCAATGGAAGGTTCGAAACCACGGTCTCCAGAAGCTCCTTCTGCTCCGCCTCCAACGCAACGGATGACGACGGCAACGGCTTCCGATTCGATCTCGAAACTCCAGGAATGTACTTTTTAGCATAATACATCACGCAAGTCTCGATAATCTCAGGACTGAGCTCCGCGCCTCTCATCGCAAGAATCAATCGCTTGAACAGAGGCAAACGCAGAAGCGCTAGATCTTCAAACCAGGAGTCTCCGGAGCCGGCACCGGCCTTTCTTCTTCCAGTGGCGTCAATCCCGTTCCAGAGGACCTGTTTGGACGCCGAAGTAGCGTCGCTGACCGGCCAGCCAAACAATGCGGGATCCGCGGAGGAAGCTCTGGCAACTACAGAATCGATGCACCTCTGCGTGATTCCGAGAGTCTCCGCCATAGGCATCAAATGGTCGCAGGATTTTAGCGTTTTGATGGAGTCCTTGAGGCTCTTGAGCACGTGCTGTGAGAGGAACCTCTCCGTCTTGGAGACGAGGTTGTCTTCGGAGTAGTCTTCGGTCATCTCGAGAAACTCCCCGGCGCAGCGGAGAGCCGCCACATTGGAAGGAGACAGGTCGATCTTGACGCCATAACAGAATTTGGCCGCCATCTCAAACGCCTCGGAGCCTCCGGGGAATCCCGTGAACGTCACGTGACAGTGCACCTCCACGATTTCGTCTTCGTCTTCGATTTGTTCTTGTTGCTGTGGCTGCTGTGGGACAGTGGAATGAGATGCTGCCTCTTGCTGGGTTATCAGGTGGTGGAGCTTTTGGCTTTTTGACATCAGAGGAAACTGAAACGGGTATCAGAGACAGGTTTCAGAGAAGGGGTACGGAGTGTTGTCGCTACTGGAAGTGGAAATAGAACCAAGTTTGGCTCTGTGTGTGTGTGTGCGCGCGCGTGAGAAATTTGTTACTTCTTGTTGTGAGGCTTACCTTGTGGAGATGGAAGGTCATGTCATCCACTTCCACCACAATGTCACTTGGCAATCCAGTTGTGCAGAACCTGCAGAGTGCAATTGTGAGAAAATAAAAAACAAAAAAATGGAAGAAAAAGGGATGTGTAAGAAGCATGAACTTCAAAGAGAGGAAGCTATTATTATAACCATGCTTGCCCTTTCGAGCTGGGCTTTTCTGCTGATGACATTTTTCTCTGTAAATTAAATGTATGAAATGATTCTTTCTCCAGAAACTTCAGTCTAGGTTAATGGGCAGTCAGATCCATGAATATTAGAAGGATGCAAATTATTTCGGGAGGTTGGAGACACTGAAAATTTTGTGAGTGTGAAAGATTGGACGGATACAAAATGTGAGGAGATAATACCCAGAATTGTGGTAGTGTTGCAGAGTGAAATGGACTTGACTCGCAGTGCCAATTGGAAAAAAGAAATACAAGACGAGAATGAAAGGAATTGTTTGTTTGTGCTTTCTTTTGAGGTTTTATTGACAGAAAACAACAAATGAAACTTTAACAAAAGAAAATAAAAATAAAATAAAAAGAAGTGAACAGAATGGAATCCACAAACTCAAAGCGGACAAATGGACCTTGAGCAAATTCCTAAAAAGGGGATCATATTGGATCGTTTTTCCTTCCTTTACCAAACCTTCATTTCTTTTTCTTTTTTATGAATCAGATCAGAATCTCATTCCCACCTACTGTTCTCTCTCTCATGACTTAAGAGGGCAAATAGACTCAACAAAAAGGAAATCCCGTTGATGAGTTTTCTTCTTAAAACCCTTGAAAAGGCAATAATCACCTATTTGCCCACATCTCACTGCTTGCCAACTAGGTTTGCGCATTTGCGCAAATGATGGAATATTATATAAATGAAATTCTCACTTCGTGACCTGTTGACTTGGTTCGCCTAGTTTAATAAATCAATTAGCGTTATATTTCACTGAACGGATGAGATACTCTCTGTTCCAATGCAGTTATTAATGCTTAAGAAGAGCATGAAATTCATCATGTCTTTCTATTATAATAGTACTAACCCCGAAAAATAAAATCAATTTAAACCACTGTGAATAGCAATTTACGTTACTTTTTTTTCTGTCATTGTCATTAGCAACGAACAAATCACAGGAGCATTGTTCAAAAATCAAATATTAGAGGCGAGCTGCAACTAAGAGCACACATCTATTTCAATTGTTAAATGTAGTAATTGTGTATTAATGGAATAGAGATTTGTGACCACCACCAGGCACCAGCTCATAAATCTCACACCGCCTTAATTGGTCCAAGATTTTGCTACTTTATCAAGTGGTTGGGATACATATAAATAGTCTTATGTAGCACATGGTATATAAAAAGGAAGTTGCTTGATATGAATCTCTAAATCATTACTGTTAAGATTTTCTAGCTTCGAAACTTTTGAAGTTTTCTGCTCTGGTCCCCTTAGTCTATCTTCTTGACATGCTCCTCCCCCTTCCCTTGGAACAAAAGAGATTTTTCTTAGGGAAAAAAAAAGGAAGGAAAGGAGCTATCCCTTCATTAATGTTAGTATATCTACCCTTTGATCCCTCCTTCCTTAGAATTTATGACTGCCTTTAATAAATAGACAGTGTCATTGTAAGGTACATTATTCGAATCACAAGTCCAAAGTGAATGGAAGGTAATTTCAAATTTTCAAATTGAGACAGTCGAAAATGTGGACAAAATATCAAAATGTTGGGAGGATAGTACAAGAAGAACGACGATGGGTGCAATATCTTCAACAAGGGTGAAGAAAAAAACTTGAGGAAAAGGTCAAATAAGCCCCACTTACCCTACTAGGGTTTCAAGTGCCTTTGAATGAACGAAATTACTGAAAGATAGAGCAATGATTTGAGAATGGGGATTAATAATAGGTAATAGGCAAGTCTTTGTTACTGTTTTTCACGTGTTTGGTGGCTCATCACCATACGATTTTCACAAAAGAACTCGTGTCACACTGAATAATATAGCCTACTAGTCTGGCCATGTATTTGGGCGTTCTTAAAAGGACAATATAAAGACAAACCACCAAAACCAAAATAACAAAGAGATAGTTGCAAGATTGTCCGGGCACATAGCTCTTTGATTAGGCAACGTGAGTTTCCTTTCTCCCATGTCCTAAACAATGCTAACTAACTGCTAGTTATTTCAATTTCACTAACCCCATTGTTATTTTTTCACATTCTTATTGAAATATATATTGTAAGATTTAATTACTATTTCTTATTAATCTTTTTTTGTATTGAATTCAAATCAAACTATTTTATCATGTCTAAAATTTCAAATGTCCCTCTCTCTCTCTCTCTCTCTCTCTCTCTCCCAATTCCCGCCCCTCCCTCTTTCTTTCGCTCGAGGACATACACAGACTACAAAGAATAGGTTAAAAAAGGGAGCACAAAACCATGGTAAATGATAAAATAATAATAACTAAATCCAGAACTTAGTTGCCAAGCTGAATCATTTTACACTCGGCACAAGGACAGAGGAAACTATTCTTTATCCATTGAACCATAAACATAGAAAAGCATGCATGTTAATGTGAGTTAACTAGTTTAACTTGACCATCCTTACCTTACTAATAATAAAATAATAATATGCTAAAAGAAAAAACTAGTTGCTGTCTTGTTTTTATTAGTATATATCAGATCTAATAGTATAAATATAATAATTTAATATAAAATTAAATTTTATTTTGTATATATTATATTCTTATATCAAAAAGATTATTCGTTAGTATAAAATACTACTCGTCCTTTTATAAGGTATTTTATAGTTTTTATGAATTTTTTTTTCTCATTTTCTTTTAATAAATGAAGTTGGTGAGAAGTTAAATTAAAACTAAGAAAAATAAAAGTTAACAGTAATTAAGTGAATGCAATTAACTATGTCTTATAAAAGAATCTGATAGAGTATATCGCTAGTTATTGGTCCCAAGGATCACCCTTCTATTTGACTTGGGTAATATTCCTACAAGTGAATGCAACAAACTAGCTCCTACGCTACTCTGTAGCTCAAAACCTGAGGGCTTGTGATCAATCTGAGTATTATCCTTCTAATTAATACCCTTCCCACCAGCGAATGCTTGGAGTTTTCACCCCACCGACCTTTGTTGAGTTTTGAACACTTAAAAGTAGCATAGATTGGGAGACGTATTGTATAGCGAAATATCAATGTACTTGGACAAAATAGCTTGAAACATCTCACGTGTTTGGTTCTTTAGTATTGCAAATTGCAATTAAGTGATGTCTTTTTGCAAACCTCGTCCAATCCGTCTCGTTAATCCAAAAGACAAACTATCCGCAATAGAACCGAGTAATTCACAAAAAGATCTCCGCTCCTAGGACATCAACTTGGCATAATGCACCTACTCTAAGTTGTTTCCCAATGTTTCGCTAATATAACAACAGATAAACAGGAAAGCAAATAGAAGAATAAGCATTTAACAAATGGACAAAAAAAAGGTACAATTCCTTCGGTATTATTGTTACTGTTGTTTATTAAAATAAAATTTTAATTTTAATTGGTAAAAAACATTAACAACACATATCAAACACCATATAAGTTTTGTCTTTAACAGTATAGTTTGCATTTACCCAAAATGAAGACGTTTAATTTGCAGAGAAATTAAATTAAAATAATTTCCGTAAAAAAATTGAGAGAGTATTGTATATCAATTCCATATCAAGACAATTTGGTAGCCAAATTCAAGAAATGTCGACCATAACTTTGTCAAAGAAAAAAATTATAATATTATATTTATGTAAGACTACCACGGAAATTCCCACCAAAGCCCAGCAACACTTTCATCCATATTTCTACAGATGGAAAAAGTTGCGGAGTTTTAGCGTGTTTCATACTGTATCAGTTGCTAAAGGTAAAGAAAATAAGGCATCAGCTAATAAACAGCTGGAAAATAAACATTAAAAGAATCAGCTTGTATGACTAAGATTAAATTGGGGTAAAGTTTCAAATAAGTACTTAGTAGGAAAAACAATTAAAACTTCTTTTATAAATTAAAAAATATTATGGCAATTCATGAGCAATTATAAAAGTAATTTAATGATTTTAAAAATATCATTGTAGCATAATATGATTATAGAAATTATTATAAGAAGATGGTATTTAAAATTTAGGAAAATTATTTTACCTTTATTTATTATAAAATATGACAAGGAAAGAATGCAAATTTATTTTTACCATCAAACACAAATTAAAAAAATGCTATAGTAATTCATGATAAATTATTAAAGATGATTTAATAATTTTAAATAATATCATTATAATTTAATAGAGTTACAAAATTATATGAGAATGGTGTTGGAGCTCCATTCATTATGAAATATTATAAGAAGAATTGTGAATTAATTTTCAAATGTAAAATTTCTTCATTTAAGAAAGCAGTGATAGTCTCTTCTTCATTTTTATTCCTTCATCTAATAAGTTAAATTTTATAATTAAATTTATTCATACTTCTAACTACAATTATAGTGAATTACTTATTTTATAAATAAAACTTAAATATAGTCCTTTTAAGTGTTGGACTAATTAAAAGTAAAAGTTTACCTCGATCACCAACATAATAAATGTCATTATTAAAGGATAATACTAATTTCAAAGATAAATCTCTAATTTTAGTGGGAGACAATTATAAAAAAAAAATTAAGATACTGCATGTAAGTTTCATCCTTAAACAATCTCTTGGATAATATCTCAAATGTACTAAGGTATAATACTAAAATATTTTTTTCCTAACTCAAGCATAAACTTTTCATAACAATTTCCATAACCACATTAATCTATAGTTATATTATTTTAAGTTAAGAAATTATCTTTTGTAACCATTTATGGATGATTGTAACATCTTTCAACTTTTTTTGACGATGAGTTTCAATTTTACTTCTTTACATTAATATTTATTTTATGTTAGTTCGAATACATACACTTTTTTTTATTTGATTCATGTAGTTTTCTTTTATAAAAACTAAAATTAAAAATGTATTATGTATGAAGATCAAAATATAAAATATTGAAATACGAGATAACATCGTTATATGAAAGCTAATAGCAAAGACTATTTTAAAAATAAATTTTTTAATTTGTTCATGAACTTGTTTATAACTTTTTTGTTTAGGGACTAAATTTTTTTAAAAAAAGGTTTCTTATAACGACCAAAATATTATTTAAATCTAAAATATATTTATTAAAAAATAGAAAATAAAAATAAATTTTTAATATTTACTTTCTTAAATAGTTAACTATAATATTTAATAATGTATATTAAGAGTCTGATTGAAAGAGTTTATACCTTATTAAAGTAAGTTATTTGCAATTTATTTTAATAAATTTCATCGTTAAATTATATTAATTCATTGTTTAAAAAGATCACATTGAATACATACTTAAATAAACAATGTATTTAAATGCACCATAAATGTGTTTTAACCAATATCATTATTACATTTATTAGTAAGATACATAAAAGTTATATATTCGAACCAACTTTGTTAGGTTATACTGTTTGTATGTTTTTAAGAGGATGAGAAGGAGATAAAATAAAGGTGAGTATTTATCTATTTTAAATATATAAAAAGTAAGTTTTATTTATCTATTTATTTTAAGGTAGGTTGATAAGTTAATAAGCTAACTTGTTTAAAATTAAGAATTCAATTTGACTTACCTCATGAACAATCAATTAAATAAATTAAATAGGTTAACAAATTTTAAAACCTAATCCAACATGCTAACATAGGTGAGTCAAGCGATTAAATTGAACTTAATTTACCATAAAAAAATAGAAAAGATCTTGAAATTGATTTTAAATTTTTTTATATAGGTATCAAAATAATAACTTTAGACAAATGAATATTTTAAAAATATATTTATTCTATCTTCCTTTCAACTGGTTAGAGGCATTAACGAGTGATTTAATTTTACTTGTTTATTTGTGTTATGACCCAAAATAAGGATAAGGGTTTGACTTAGAAGACTGCAATGATGATAGTCCAATTTCTTAAACCAGGCTCAAGCATAAGAGAATTAAGCCTAAATACCTCAAGGACTATGTGGTTTCTTAGTTGAGAAAAGGGTGTGCTCTAAGCTAGTGTAAACCTAGATGCAAGGAACATTGTCTAGAGTTAGTTAGGATTTTTAGATAAATTTGTTAGCTGTGCTGTGTTGTTAATATGATTGACTAGTCTATGTAAATATTCTCAATTCAATAAAAAAGAATGTGAGAAATCTATTTTTCTCTCTTTTAGGTTGTGAAGGAAGCCTTCCCTCGAAGAAATGCCTTAACATTTTACTGCTTTCATTGCGAGAGTACTGGAAAAATTATGTCTGGAACAAAAAAAAATGGGAATAAATTTAAATTGGTCATTAAATAATTGTTGGAAAATCAACCTACCTTTCAGGAAAAGATGAACAATCAAATAGCTACCTAAGAGACACGAGTAATTTCTCAGTAAGATAATGGATCAAGATTGCCTCATGGCTTGAACCATGTTGCCCAACCATTCTTGTGAACCACCATGAAGCTTGTTGTTCCACATTTTGACATATCTGACCCTTAGGTTGGATTTTCAAAATTAATTAGTTTTTCAATTTCCATAATACACTAGAGGATTAATGACTTAATCACTTCTTTTTTCATGGAGAGTGAAGCTTTTAGCTGGTTCCAATGGATGCATGCCAACAATCAAATCACTGCTTGGACAATCTCCATCCATGCTCTAGAAATTAGGTTCGCCCTGTCATATTATGAGGATCCCAAGGGTACTCTATTCAAGCTGTGCCAAACCACCATAGTTAGGAATTATCAAGCACAGTTCGAAAGCATTGTGAATCACATCATACGTATATCCCACCCATTCTTTTTGAGTTGCTTCGTCTATGGACTGAAACCAGAGATTAGACGATAGGTGCAAGCTTTTCAACCTATCTTGTTGTCTTATGCTATCATTCTTGCTACTTTGTAAGAGAAGAAATTTGTAGAAATCTTGTTGGATCACAAACGGACACTCTTATAGAAACACATGAAATTATGAGAAGGAGAAGAAGAAAAACTGCATAGACTAAAAATTTTATATTCTGAATTATGTACTTGTATTTATAGTTCATTAGACACATTTGAATTAACCACCATCTAACAGAATTAACGAAATTGAATTAGTCCCTTAACACACCCCTTTAATTCAAAGTATCTAAGGACACCATATTCAGCATGCTTCTCAGATCTTTGAATCTCTCAATCTTCATGGATTTTGTCATGATATCTACTATCTGCAATTCTGATTCACAGTATACTAACTCAAGTCTCCCTTTATTCACTTGATCGTGCAAAAAATGGTACTTAGTCTCAATATGCTTGCTCATTCCATGTGCCATCGGATTCTGTGCTAAATTGATGACTGACTTGTTATCAATCAAGTGTTGCATTGGACTCTACAATTTCACTTGTAGTTCCTTGAGTAGGGATATCAACCAAAGTGCTTGACAGGATGCATGTGATGCAGCAATGTACTTTGCCTCATAGCTAGATAAAGCCACCACTATTTGCTTCTTGGAACATCAGGAAATATGTGCTCCATGGAGCTTAAATACATATCCCATAGTGCTCTTTCTATCCACTTTGTCACCACATCAATTTGAATTAAAAAATCCAATTAAGCCATCAAACAGTTGTTCAGACAACTTATTAGGAAACAACACACCATAGCAGGGACTCCCCTTTAAGTATCTTAGTATTCTCTTTTTGCTGCCACTAGATTAGATTGCCTAGGATCCTCCATAAATCTACTTATAAGGCCAACTACGTATGAAATGTTTGGTCTGCTGTTGCAAATGTACCTCAGTGAGCCAACAATCTGTTTATATAGAGTGTTGTCCACTAGTTTCTCCCTTTCATCTTTCAACAGTTTGATGTTTGCATCAGCTAAAGTTAATGCCTCATTGCACTGTGACATATTAAACCTCTTCAATATTTCATATATGTACTTCTTCTGATGCAGAAGGATTCCCTGATCAGTTCTTGTAAAGTCCATGCCCAGAAAATAGGTGAGGACTCCTAGGTTTGTCATTTCAAACTCAGTCTTCATATTCAGCTTGAAGGACTCAATATTCTCTTGGTTGCTGTCTATAATCAATAGATCATCCACATACAGACATACTATAAGTATATCAGTTTCAGATTGACATTCACATATATGCCATGTTTCACTGAACATTTAGAAGGCCCAGTTGTATGAGGAAGGAATCAATTCTCTCATTCCAGACTCTGGGGGCTTGTTTTAACCCATAAAGAGCCTTTCTGAGCATGTACACTCTTTCTTCTACCTCTTATGCTTCAAATCCAATAGGTTGAGACACATAAACCTCTTCTCCCAGTGGACCATTTAAGAAGGCAAACTTCACATCTAATTGAAATAACTGTTAGCCTCTAAAGTTGGTCAGAGTCACCACTAATCTAATTGTCTCAAGTCTGGCCACAAGTGTAAAAACTTCAGAATAGTCCAAGTCAGATTTTTGTAGAAAACCTTTAGCCACCAATCTTGCTTTGTGTTTGGCAATTGATCCATCAGGTTTCTGCTTTACTTTAAACACCCATTTGAGAGGTATGGGTCGTTTGTTTAATGGCAACTCCACCAATTTTCAGGTCTATTTTCTCTGAATAGCTCTCAATTCTTCTTCCATAGCCTCCTTCCACTCACTTCTTTTGATTGCTTCTTCAAAGGTGATAGGCTTAGAATCAGCTAGAAAAGCCTTATAGACCAAATCTCCATCTGTTGTAATCACATCATCAGAGAACACCTCACAATCATTAAACTGAGTTGGTAGGTGCTTAGACCTTTGGGATCTGATGTTATGTGTCTGTATAGCCTCATTCTTCTTACCATGATCTTCTCCGCAGTCAAACTCTTCAAGTGCTAAAGGCACTTCTGAAGTTGCAGTGATGAGCCTGGACCATTCCCATACTTCTGCTTCATCGATGTGAACATCCCTGCTCAACATAATCTTCTTGGTAGCTGGATCATACAGTTTGTAGGCACTTACAGAGTGGTATCCAACAAGAATTGTTAGTTAACAATTGTCATCTAACTTCCTTCTTCTCTCATCAGGAATGTGTCTGAAACATAGAGAGCCAAATATTCTCAAGTGTTTGACACTTGGTTTCTTCCCTGACCACACTTCCTCAGGTACAAGGGAACCAAGCCTCTTACTGGGTCACTTGTTCAGCACATACACAACTGTAGTGATAGCCTTTCCCCAGAATCTGTGAGGTAAACCTTTTGTCTTCATTATATTCCTTGCCATATCAAGAACAATTCTATTTCTCCTTTTTGTCAGGTCATTATGCTGAGGAGTATATGGGACAGTTACCTCATGCTGGATGCCATGTTCTTCACAGAAAGATTCAAACTCTCTAGATGTATACTCACCCCCTCCATCTATTCTGAGCACCTTAATGCTTTTTTTAACCTCCCTTTCAATTTTAGTTTTAAACTTTTGGAAGATGGAAAACACTTCAAACTTAGACTTTACCAAATAAATCTGCATCATTCTATTGAATTCATCCACGAAGGAGACAAAATATATGTTTCCTCCCAAAGATGAAACTTCAAAAGGTCCACAAACATTAGAATGAACTACTCCCAGTACACCAGTGGCTCTTATTGGAATATGGGATGTGAATGAATTCATTGATTGTTTTCCAAGCAGGCAATCTTTGCACATCTTGTCTTGTACACTGATCACAGGAAATTTAGTTATCATGTCTTTAGAACTTAGCATACTCAGGCTTTTAAAATTTAAATGTCCAAGTCAAAAATGCCATAGCCAAGACTGATCTTCAATGGTTGCAGCTATAAAACACTGGGCTTCTGTAGTATGAAGGTCAACCTGAAAGGTTCTATTCTTGGAGATAGGAACCTTCAGGATTCTCTTCTTTTGGGGATCAAACAGCTCCATACACTGTTACTGCATGTGCATTGTGAATCCTTTCTTCGGCAATTGTCCTAGGCTCAGCAAATTGTTCTTCATCTCAAGCACATGCAGTACATTAGAGATAAAGGCACTCTTTCCACTTCTTCCTTTGATTGTTACATTCCCCACACCTTCTGCTAACAGTGTTCTATTATCAACAAATCTAACCTTTCCTTTCTTGCTTTCATCAAGATCAGCAAGCCACTCTTTATGGTTGGTCATATGATTGGAACAACCTATATCAAGATACCAGATTTCAGTGTTGCCTGACTCAATAGCAGTTGTTACCATAAGGAATACTCGATCAGAATCTGAATCACCATCTTGAGCCATGTAAGCTTCATCATCATCCCTTTTCTGGTGCGATTTATTGAATCTGCAGTTATCAGCAAAGTGACCATACTTCTAACAGTTATAGCATTGTACCCTCCTCTTGTCAAAAGTCTTCTTGCTTCCCCTACCGCAATTATGACCACCTCTACCTCTTCTATTTGAGATTTCACCCTGATAATAATCAACACCATTCTGATCACTACTTCTGTAACTTCCATTTCTAGATCCTCTCCCTCTTTTACTTCTTCCTCTGTTAGCTCTATTTTTCTTGGTGACTTGGACTTGTAACGCCTGATCTAGTGCTTTTTCATTACTTCTCTCATTCATGTGTTGTTCATGAGCTTTCAGGAAACTTGTAATTCTGTAATCTTCATTATTTCAAGATTTTTGGACTCCTCAATAGCAATCACTATGTAATCAAATTGTGGGGACATTGTACGCATCACTTTCTCTATGACCATCAAGTCTATTATCTTTTCACCATAAGTCTTCATCTGATTAACAAGACTTATCACCCTTAAGAAGTAATCAAACATCTTGTCAAGATTCTTGATAAGTCTATAATTAGGCCCTCTTTTACAGCCCATATATTCATATTTGACTTTTATTTTATTTAGGTTTTACACTAATTTATATATTAATTGTGCAGTTTGGTATAAAGAGGCCGCAAGTGGATTTTAAGTGCATTATGAGCTCAAATTGATGGAAGATTAAAGTTTCACAGCAGTCAGCACGCCCAGACCCATTCAATAAGCACGAGGGTGCTTCGAGCCCATGCACGGTTGTGCTTAAGGCCTTGCACGACTGTGCTCATCTGCAGGAAGCCCAATTATGAAGAGTTTTAAGGGTTTTCAAATCATATAAAAGGGAAGATCTCAGGCATCGTAAAGAGACTGTTTATACATCTAGTCTTTGGCTTTCGAATACACTTCTGATCTCGTCTCTCTTGCATGGGATCCTTGGCACATACTTGGCAAGACTTGGAGTTTCAAGTGATCGTACTTGAAGATCGGGAACACATCTCACACTCTAGTTTGCTATTTCTTTTGATTATGGCTTTGTTTATGATTGTTTTAGTTCTTTTCTTTAGCATAAGTAACTAAGTCCATAACTAGGGCTATGAAAACTATTGTTCATGAATTTATGAAATTTTGATATTTGAATTTAAATTTGATATCCGTTTTGTGATTAGATTTTATCCTATTACGCTTCTTTCTTAATCCTAATTAATTATATCGTCAGGCGACTGTCCCTTGGTTAATTAATAGATCTATAGGGTAAAACGAGACAAAGGTTTAGATGGATAAAACCAATCTCTCTTTTAATCGTTATTAAATTAACAAATTCGTAAGCTCCTAAAGCTTTCTTAAATTAATGTTTTGCATGACCATTAGGGATGTTAATTTAGAGAAAAAAAATATTAATATTGCATGACCATTGAGTATTAATAATATTCGTATGAATGATTGCTAATCACAAGGAAATCAAATTTAGAATTAAACAGAAGAATAAAATAAAGGATTGAATGAGAAAACACAAATACGCTAGGTTCCTCTCCGATAAGTTTAACCAACACATGCATTGTATTCCTTGCTTGTAGTTTTATAATTGATTTTATAAATTCTTATTTTTAATTAATCTCGTATCTTTGAAGCTTAAACAATTGAATTAGAAAATTCTTAGTAATTGAAAATCAATCCTTGTGGGACGATATTTCGGGAACTTAATTTAAGAACCCTTTATTACTTCTCGATGGGTACACTTGTCCTCCGAACAAGTTTTTGGTGCCGTTGCCGGGGATTTCTTTTTCAATATTAAGAAAATCTCAAATTTAATTGATTTAAGCAATTTGTGTTTTATTTTATTTTATTTTTTTGTTTATTGTTAAAAAAAATTTTAATAATTTTCGTATTTATTTTATTTTAATTTTTTTATTTCACAATTTCTTTTAATGTATGCTCACTCGTTCTAAGTGCTCTACAACTTGTTTATTTGATCTGGAGATTGAGAGAACAACGCGTAAACAAAGAAAAGAAGTGAGAGAGCAAAGAATGGCAGAGGGAAAGAGATCAATTCAAAATTATATGACACCCACTGCTAGAGGCACCCCTAGAAGCATTGCAGCACCAAATGTGGAGGCCAACAATTTTGAATTGAAACCAGCACTTATAACAATGGTCCAGAACTTGATACAGTTTGGAGGCATGCCTAACGAAAACTCCAATCTTCATCTGACAAAGTTCCTTCGATTGACGGACACCATAAAGTACAATGAAGTCTCCAACGAAGCTATTCGACTCCGACTTTTCCCCTTCTCAGTACCTGAAAGGGTGAATGCATGGTTTTCTCACTCTCAGCCAACTCCATCAGAACTTGGGAGGATCTTAGTCAACAATTCTTGGGAAAGTACTTTCCCACATCAAGGCCCTCTAAGCTTATGACGAAGATATGTTGTTTCCAACAATATGAAGCAGAATCTTTATTCGAAGCATGAGAGCGATTTGGAGAACTTTTGAGGAGATGTCCTCATCATGATTTTTCGACGTGGAGACAGGTACAAATTTTTTACAGTATCCTATAAATCACTACTAGGGCTACAATTGATGTCGTAGTAGGAGGGTCCCTCATAAGAAAAGATCCAGATGATGCATACAAGCTGATAGATAAGATGACATCTTCTAGCTTTGAGTGACACACTGTTGACTCTTATGACATCAAGGGAAAAAAGACTGCCCTAGTTTACCAAACAGAGAGCAGCAACTCACTAATGAACCAAATGGCAGCCCTTACAAAGCAACTAGAATCTTTAATGAAGGCTCAAGTCCAACCTATAAGAGCTCCTGCAAGCCCAGAATCTAAGCAAGAGGAGGAAAATTTCATGGGCAATCACAGTTCAGGGTGGAGGAGTAATCCTCCTAACTCTCGGGGGAATGGCTTTGGAAGTCAAAATTCAAGTGTTTATCGCCTTCCTCATATGCAAAGTCAGGGAGCAAGACCTGAAGGAAAAGAAGCTCCTAGATCTCAGTCTAACTTTCAAGAACAGATGATGCAGTATGTGCATTACTTTGATAAGAGGATGATGAGCTTGAATCCAAGTTGGACCAACATATTGAGAGAACAGATAACAGGTTCGCAAAGGTTAAATATGAAATACAAGCCAATTCTTCTAAGATGAGTGTACAATTAGAGCAAATTACGAACCTTCTAAGTCAAAGAGTGATGGGAACACTGCCATCTCAGCCTGAACCTAATCCAAGGGAGCAATGCAATGCCATCACCCTTAGAAGTGGGAAGAAAATACAAGAATCGCAGAACAGAGGCACATACACGTCCATGCTTGTTGAGAAGCACGCCTATGCTGATTCTACATGCACGCTCGTGCTTACTGATGAGCACGCCCTTCCTACAATAGAAGCACGACCGTGCTTATACAAGCACGCCCATGACAGTAATCAAAGCACGGCTGTGCATCACTATGAGTAAGACTGTGCTTCAAGTGAGGAGCCTGAAAAAGAAAAGAAGGAAGAGTCTCTTGTTCAACCAAGGCCCTATGAGTTTAAGATACCTTTCGCACAGCGGCTGCAAGGTCACCTTCCTTATGATGAAGAGTTCCACAAGTTCTTAGACTTATTGGGTAAAGTGCATATCAATATGCCATTCATTGATGCTATCTCCAAAATGCCCAAATGTGCTAAATTTTTAAAGGAGATTTTGACCAATAAAAGAAAGCTGAAAACACATGAAACTGTGAAGCTCACCCAGGAGTGCTCAGCTATAGTCCTTAAAAAGCTTCGACTTAAGCTTAAGGACCCAGAGAGTTTTACTATTCCTTGCACAATTGAAAAAACTCATATTGATAAGGCTTTATGTAATTTATGAGCAAGTATTAATCTTATGCCTTATTCTGTTTTCAGGAAGCTTGGAATACATAAACCTAAGTTGACCTCCATGTCACTTCAGCTGACAGATAGGTCGATCACATACTCCAAAGGCATAATAGATAACGTACTTGTAAAAGTTTGGGAGTTTATATTTCCTGCTGACTTTGTGGTACTTGACATGGAGGAAGATGATGATATCCCCATCATACTAGAGAGATCGTTCTTGGCCACTGCTAGGGCCGTCATAGATGTACAAGAAAGGAAGCTCACACTGAGGCTAGATGATAAGGAAGTTGTATTTCAAGTTTTCAGTTCTTTCAAGTACCCTTCTAGCCAAGAGTCTTGTCACTTTGTGAGCATTGTAGATGTTGCTTCTCCTCCTCCAATTTATGTGAAGCATGGAACCACAAGAAGAAGGCTAAGGAGGAAGCAATATAAGAAGAAGAAAAGACAAAAACTTAAACTATCCATGAATAAGCCTCTTAATTCGAAGCTTAAGTTTTCTTCTCTTTATTCTAATCCCCATTTTATGAATAATTTTTCTGATTTAATAGGTGTTGGGGAGGCAAAGCTGCTAGGGAGACAATTTCATATCAAGGGAGTCACCTCTGAGACTCATACTTTCTTCACACCATGATTTAATAGGAACGTCAGGCTCATAACGTTAAATAAGCGCTCCCAAGAGACAACCTGTGTCTTTTATTTTATTTAAATTTTATTTCTTTTTGTTTATTTTAATTTTGCTATTGTTATTTTATTTTTAGAATAAAGAATAAGCATATTGAAAGATTGCAAGAATGAAGTTGATTGTTCTTGCACACACTTTTGAGCTCTGAGCTGAAAGCACGCCCATGCTCATCCTATACACGGCCGTGCATTTAGTCGCAGCTATGAGAGAAAGTTTTACAGCATAAGCATGGGCGTGTTCAAGATTTCAGCATGGACGTACTCTTTTACCCGAAGTCGTCGCGCCAAGAATTATCACGGAACCTCTTTCCTTTTTATTCAATTGCCCTCTTTGCATGCTTTTAATTTGATTGCTTTTAAACATTGAGGATAATGTTTCGCTTTAAGTATGGGGGAGTAGTTCCTAATTATATGATTGTTATTGCATGTTATTGAGTAAAGTGCTTATGCTATTTTTTATGATAATTTAAAATTTTTTCCCTCATGGAACCCAATTTTTCCAGATAGAAGAGCATGTTGAGTGATTATTATTGGCATTATACTTTCATTTGGAAACTAATAATTAGCTATGTTCCTTACTTTTATGCTCTACATTAAACTTTAACCCACAGATGTGAGTTTTGAGCCTTAAAGGAGATTTCTATTTTAAT